TTTTACTCCTCACCTTTCTATCTGAGTCTGCTTATTTCTTGGCTCATAATTGAAACAAAATCCTGCATACTACAAATTCGTTTAATATATCGTGAGAACTTAAAAAAAGAGGGATTAGATTAGTTTTAACCACGACTACTTTCATTGTTACTTTCCTGTCTTTATATAATTTATTCACGCTTTTCATCCATACCTCTTTAAGTCTTTCCCTAATGATTATTGAATGTTCGTATCACACTAGCTCTTTCTCCCTCTCTCGCACCAGCAGACGGCACGCTCCGCCTGGTGGTGAGTGACGAGCGGTTGTCGATGCTCCCAGAGGCGTGGGAGAACCTGACTGAGCAGGGACACAGCCTTCTAGAGGTCGTCCAATTCGTGACGACGCGAGCCACAGTCCCTAGGTCCGCAACTCGTCTCTGCTCCTGCTGGGGAAGATCTTGAGTTTGGAAGCCTTGAGCGAGAAGAGGGTGTACGTGGTCGTCTTGGCTGGGAGTTACGACTGGGCGCTCTCTGCGAGGACGTGCGAGGACGAGGCGAGGGTCGTCGAGGATTTGGTGCTGTTTAAGTCCGAGCTTGAGCGTCTCGGGAGGGATTCGTTCCCTTGTCGAGAAGTAGTCGTGGTGTTGTGCCCTCTCGTGGAAGCGGCGGTGTGGGGAGGGCGAGGGGAAGGGGAAGAAGAGGAGAAGAAAGGAGAGCTATGGAAGAATCAGAGAAAGAAAGGAGAGCGAAAGTCAAATGATGGAGGACGATTTGAATATAAACGAAGAACTGGCGCAGGAGAAAGTATGGAACGGAGAAATAAAGAAACGAGAAGAGATGAGAAGGAAGCGAGAGAACAAGTAGGAACCTCATCTGCCCTTAAAAGAATGAACAGGAACCTGAGAAGGGAGAACGCAAGCCTTAAGGTCCCGATCTCGACCTCCTCCCCTCGCCTTTGGAAACACATAATGAGGGAACTTAGGGACGCTCTCTGTGGATTCGCTGGACCCGAATTACAGGAAGATAGTAGCAGGAAAGTCTGTAGGATTCTGAATGATATATTCGACGCATGCGCGGAATGATACTAGTATAGTGGTGCCTCGACGTAACAGTGAACTCTTAAGGTTTTCTTATTTTTTAAATTTTGGTTTAGATATTAGTAGAGATTTATTTCACATTATTTTGGTTGCGTCCCTGGTGCACGACACACAATATCCAGTTAATTAGATACCTTATATTCATTTTTAAGACCTTGTAAATATTCACAAATTCCACTCTTTCCCTTATCAGCTTTATTTGGTTCATCTCACACGTTTGAATTAACAAAGTTATGATTCAAATTTAATTCAAATTTGAAATTATACTCGACCGCGGGAAACCCTCACAGGGAACTAGGCCAAACTTAATGAGCTGGAACGAACCCACGAAAGGTTCGGTTGGATGCCAGTACAAGAAACATGGGGGGTGGAAGAACAGAGAAGAACGCCAGGACCAAGAACTGGATGAGAAGAATGTTCTAGGAGAGATTCTGAAGTTTTGATAGGGTAGAAGCAAAGAATGAGAAGGACAGAGAGATGGAAAAATAGCAAGAAAAGGGAAGTGGAATACTTTAAATGCCATTTTTCAAGGTAATTGCTTTATCATGTGGCTCAGTAGAAAAGGTTAATGGATTAAGTTCTTTGCTTTTCTTTCTTTTTTTTTTTAGGAAATGCTATTCTTTTATGTATGAAGTAGATTTTTTTTTGTATAATTGTCAACATGCTGTTTTACTTTGAACAATTTATAATGTTAATTAATGCAGTCAAATACCATGCTTTGATTTCTTTCCACTATTTGCTCGAGCCTCTTCAGAATCTTTTCGGGAAAGAAAAAGAAAACAAACATCCCACATTTTCTCTTTTAATCTTTCCTCCCCCCCCCTCTCTCTCTCTCTCTCTCTCTCTCTCTCTCTCTCTCTCTCTCTCTCTCTCTCTCTCTCTCTCTCTCTCTCTCTCTCTCTCTCCCCCCCCCCTTCCCTCTCCCTCTCTCTCCTCTCTCTCTCTCTCTCTCTCTCTCTCTCTCTCTCTCTCTCTCTCTCTCTCTCTCTCTCTCTCTCTCTCTCTCTCTCTCCCCCCCCCCTCCCTCCCTCCCTCCCTCCCTCCCTCCCCTCCCTCCCTCCCTCCTCTCTCTCTCTCTCTCTCTCTCTCTCTCTCTCTCTCTCTCTCTCTCTCTCTCTCTCTCTCTCTCTCGCTATACTTCCCTCCCGCTCCCCCCCCCTCTCTATCCCTATTCCTCTCTATCCCTCCCTCCCTATATTCCTCCACCTCTCTCTCTCTCCCTTCCCCCCCTTCCAGCTCTACCTCCTTCCTTCATTCTTATGCGCTGGGATCTGCCTTAACCTTTCATTTAATATTAAGTGAAGTCATAATTTCTGTTGGTATAATAAGAGCATGGGATTTTTTTTTAGCATTATAATAAATGGCTATTCTCCAAACAGTGACATTAATTCCTTAATATCACCTTTGGGGAACTACTTCTTTTGAAAATAATCTCACTCTAGATAAACGCTTTTTAATATTTCAGAGTGATACACTATGCACCCATTACTTCGGTTAATTATTCTAAGATCCTTGGAAAAAAGTACATGGGATTAATGCTTCACAGTCCTTGAATTCAGATTGTGCATGTGACAGGCTAACCTTATATACTGTGACAGTGCCTTTTTTTTTGGGGGGGGGGGGGGGATAACATATTTGCATTGTAATGATAACGAATATTTTTGTCTATCGAACTGTCTATGTACCCGTTTTGCACTCTATGGAATTTATATGTGTTCGTTATATGCACCTGTCTGTTATGTATATGCCTCTGTTTAATGCCAATGTTTTATTTTATGTTCATGTTCAGGTGTACACACACACACACACACACACACACACACACACACACACACACACACACACACACACACACACACACACACACACACACACACACACACACACACTCACTCACTCACCTTATGGATGTACACGTATACAAGGATGTGTTTCTGTATATGGAAAGCGAAAGTATAATTTAGACCGCAATTGATATTGGAAGCGCATGTTTCTGTTGTGATTTCTTATGCACCGCAGACAAAAAAAGCCAATGACTGAATATTTTATGCGGACACAAGCTTGTTTTCCCACCATATGTGAAGTAGATTAGATTTATTTCCCCCCATTTAATGAATTTTGTAGATGGAGTACTCGCTTTTACTGAACAACGGCTGATTGTTTTCGAAAGATGTATAACCTGAATATTTCTCCTGGCAATAAAACGCGTTGATGGTAGTGTACATTTTATTGCCGTTGTTTATTGTTCGTCTCTCTCTCTCTCTCTCTCTCTCTCTCTCTCTCTCTCTCTCTCTCTCTCTCTCTCTCTCTCTCTCTCTCTCTCTCTCTCTCTCTCTCTCTCTCTCTCTCTCTCTCTCTCTCTCTCTCTCTCTCTCTCTCTCTCTCTCTCTCTCTCTCTCTCTCTCTCTCTCTCTCTCTCTCTCTCTCTCTCTCTCTCTCTCTCTCTCTCTCTCTCTCTCTCTCTCTCTCTCTCTCTCTCTCTCTCTCTCTCTCTCTCTCTCTCTCTCTCTCTCTCTCTCTCTCTCTCTCTCTCTCTCTCTCTCTCTCTCTCTCTCTCTCTCTCTCTCTCTCTCTCTCTCTCTCTCTCTCTCTCTCTCTCTCTCTCTCTCTCTCTCTCTCTCTCTCTCTCTCTCTCTCTCTCTCTCTCTCTCTCTCTCTCTCTCTCTCTCTCTCTCTCTCTCTCTCTCTCTCTCTCTCTCTCTCTCTCTCTCTCTCTCTCTCTCTCTCTCTCTCTCTCTCTCTCTCTCTCTCTCTCTCTCTCTCTCTCTCTCTCTCTCTCTCTCTCTCTCTCTCTCTCTCTCTCTCTCTCTCTCTCTCTCTCTCTCTCTCTCTCTCTCTCTCTCTCTCTCTCTCTCTCTCTCTCTCTCTCTCTCTCTCTCTCTCTCTCTCTCTCTCTCTCTCTCTCTCTCTCTCTCTCTCTCTCTCTCTCTCTCTCTCTCTCTCTCTCTCTCTCTCTCTCTCTCTCTCTCTCTCTCTCTCTCTCTCTCTCTCTCTCTCTCTCTCTCTCTCTCTCTCTCTCTCTCTCTCTCTCTCTCTCTCTCTCTCTCTCTCTCTCTCTCTCTCTCTCTCTCTCTCTCTCTCTCTCTCTCTCTCTCTCTCTCTCTCTCTCTCTCTCTCTCTCTCTCTCTCTCTCTCTCTCTCTCTCTCTCTCTCTCTCTCTCTCTCTCTCTCTCTCTCTCTCTCTCTCTCTCTCTCTCTCTCTCTCTCTCTCTCTCTCTCTCTCTCTCTCTCTCTCTCTCTCTCTCTCTCTCTCTCTCTCTCTCTCTCTCTCTCTCTCTCTCTCTCTCTCTCTCTCTCTCTCTCTCTCTCTCTCTCTCTCTCTCTCTCTCTCTCTCTCTCTCTCTCTCTCTCTCTCTCTCTCTCTCTCTCTCTCTCTCTCTCTCTCTCTCTCTCTCTCTCTCTCTCTCTCTCTCTCTCTCTCTCTCTCTCTCTCTCTCTCTCTCTCTCTCTCTCTCTCTCTCTCTCTCTCTCTCTCTCTCTCTCTCTCTCTCTCTCTCTCTCTCTCTCTCTCTCTCTCTCTCTCTCTCTCTCTCTCTCTCTCTCTCTCTCTCTCTCTCTCTCTCTCTCTCTCTCTCTCTCTCTCTCTCTCTCTCTCTCTCTCTCTCTCTCTCTCTCTCTCTCTCTCTCTCTCTCTCTCTCTCTCTCTCTCTCTCTCTCTCTCTCTCTCTCTCTCTCTCTCTCTCTCTCTCTCTCTCTCTCTCTCTCTCTCTCTCTCTCTCTCTCTCTCTCTCTCTCTCTCTCTCTCTCTCTTCCACCTCGCTAATGAATATCTTTTACAAGTGTGATATAAGTAAAATTATTATTATTTTAATGAAGATTCTTTTTTTTTCTGATATAAGTAAGATATAATTTTGGTGATCCCAGTGTTTTGTTTTGTATAGGATTCGTTTTTGTTTATACAACTGTGATATAAATAAATATTCC